ATATGTTATTCCGTGAAATTAGATAAATCAACAATTAAAATACAAAAACAAAAACAAAACATAAATAGCTTTAAATAATAAAAGAATCGGGACGCAAATCATATCATGATCGAGCATTCCTTCTAGACCAGAGGTTCCGAAACTGTGGTCCGCGATTCCCTGGAGGTCCACAGTAATACATCGAATTTATGAAATTACCATTTACTGAAAGAGTAATGAATAAAATAAAATGCGAGGGTTCTCTCAACTTGCTCATATAAAATCGAAGTATAGAAATAAGATAAATGTAGAGCCGGATCTTCGTTCGAAACTGTCAGACATTGACCCACAAATTCGCAAGATTGTTTCAGCGAAGCAGTATCATCCTTCACATTAAAGTAAGTCGTGAGCTTTTTTTTTCTTTCATTTTCCATATTTAAATCTCTTTTCATTGTTCTTTTCTTAAAACTAGAATCAAGCTGTGAAGGAGTAAAATACGCATATGATACACCAGATACACATGATAAAAACTATTTTTAACGGGAGGTTGTTCGCCAATACAGTAAAGAAGTCGAAGGGGGGTCCTACGGTTGGCAAAGTTTGAGAACTCCTGTTCTAGAGTAGAGTATTACTCGAGTCATGATATACCGGCGGAAAGAGGAAGAAACCCAACTTTTCAGCCAGTAAACTTCCGTTTCTTTTTTCTGATTTGTAAAAGCTTGTTTGTATTAATATTCTATTATATTAATATTTTAGTGATGAGCTAACATGGTTTATTTTATCTTTAAATACAGTTTTAACACAATCGCCGAAGACATATTATCATTACTACCACAAACAGATGTACAAAACGTCACAGTACGTGGTCATAGAGATCTTAAATTTAAAAAAAAGTTAAATCTTATTATATAAGATCTATTGCTCGTGGTACATTAGTTATTTGACTTATTTCCTGTAATAGAAATCGTAATTTACTCAATGATGCTGTATGTTAGTTTTACTTAAAAGTTAAATTACTAATTTACTGTGTTAATACATTCTTAAACTTAGGAAACTTTGATAGATATATTTTTTTCTTGCAGGTTAAAAATAATATCGCATTTTTTAATAATTTAAAGAAAAATCGAATTAACATGAAGGTGATAAAACTTAAAGAGAAGACTGAAAATTTAAAAATAAACTTCGAGTTCGAGATCTCTCTTATTCAAATTTTCGTGTTTAGGCAACTAGGCTTCTTACTAATATTAATAATTATTATTACTATATAGTATTAGTGTTAACGTTACAGTAAAGTTAGTTAGATGAAGCTTTATTTAATTTATTCTTTCGAATGCATAATTTGACCTAATTACCTCTGGCACTTCAATGTGACAGTATTTATTTTCTTTATTCTATTCGAACTCTAACGATTATTTTTGTGTTACACTGGTGAGATAAATTATTCTTAGGCTTAATGTTAAGACTCGACCAGACTTACTCAAGTTACTGTATTTAATTTGCTGTAGTGATTATTGGTATACACAACTTAAGAGGCTTTAGTAATAAACGACCTTATAACACCAAATTTGCGGTTTGTGTTTTAGTGAAACGCTCAGGAAGAAGATGTAAAACGCAATATTTAGTGCCAATTGAAAAAAAAAATCTGGTATTATATTTATAACTATAAGTTATAACAGTATAACTTGTATAACACTAACAGTAAAAACTATAAGGTCGTTTAATATTAGTATTACTGTAAATGTAATAGTAATACTGCTAGTGATTAACACTAACAGATTTCTTTTGTGCTAAACTCCAAAGCTAAAGACTGAACTTCGTCATTAGTGACGTAAGTTTAATATAATATTAATTAATTTAATAGGATACTAACATATGATTATCATTGAACCTAGAAATATAATTCAAACTGTAGTGGAAATAATTTTACAAGATACTTTGATAGATTGAGTGAGGCCTGCTATGAATATTACTGTTGCAACTTATAATTATATTTGAATTTGATTGATTGGAACAAGAAAACAGTCTTGAAAGTTAAGTTGGAACTAGAGATATTCAAGAAGAAAGTGTATTGATACAGTGTTAGAATTATATTGTAAATTTAATGGATTATAAACACTACTTCAGTTATAGCAGTAATATTACATAAAACTTTAGTTTTTTGTTTGTTTTCTAATAATTATTTCATTAGAGATTTTTCTTTTCTGTCATGACAGAATTTCATGCGACTTATGTGATGTTGTGACAGTTTGGTTCATATATGAATAATGTGCATGTGGATCCTGAAGTGATAGTGTAATGAGCAAGTGTATCCAATGGAAATGACAACATATCTTTCACCACTGATTAAACTTCCATTGTGGAAGGAAATCAATAAATGTGCAGATAACTGTTCAGGTCATGGACAATGTTACCAAGGAGTATGTTTTTGTGAGGTAATTTGAAAATTTTATTCATTAGAAGTAAGAACCCATTAGTGATTTTTTTAGTGGTAAATGTACTACTACATATATTTTCTGTGAAATGTTTAACTTTGAGATTTGGTGATGGTATTTTTTCCACTCTTCCTTAGATTTGCAGTTTTCAAGTAAGCCTTTAATTTTACGTATTGTAACTTAAGAGCTAAACAAAGCTTGTTTGCAGAAGTTCTGTTTTTCTAGTTTGTTTCATATCTTTTATATATAAATATTATGTTGTGAAGTAAATATTTCACAGTTATGAAAGTGGCAAAGAAAACATTTTAATTCACTTCACATACGATAAAAATTGGGGCATGGCTTTGACAAGCATTTGTGTGAATACATGTGGAGAACAT